GACACGCCTCCGCCACACCCGTCCTTGCGACACGCCTCCGCCACACCCGTCCTTGCGACACGCCCCCTCTACACGCCCCCACGATTATAGTGACATGTGTGTCTCTTAAAAGAAAATGATGACCTAACCATCATTGTTACATCTCAGAGCATCAAAGTTAGATAGAATATTCTAGAACGATTGTTAAGTACCTTACAAATGATAGGACGAAAATTTATCTTGTGTTTGAGTGAGACCACCCCCTTTTAAATTAATGTCTCGCCTGTCTTAGGCTATTTTTCCTTGATATAACTGATAATGAACCATTAGATAAAGTGCAGTGTATTTACTCTTCTTTGGTACAGGGTGGCGGACAATTCGAAGCTGAACTCTATGGACAGCAAGAACCTGGCGATCTGCTGGTGGCCGACGCTGCTGCCGGTGCAGTTCTCCGACATGGGCCGCTTCGAGATGACGCGCCCCTACCTCGAGGACATCGTGCAGACCATGATCGACCAACACCCCTTCCTCTTCAGGGGGCAGGAGGCTTTTGTTATGGTGTGAGGAACGTGTGTGAGTATTATTTCATCTGCACACTAGCTGCAGTAATTACTATAGCAGCGTTCCAAAAGTCATTCATTGTAAAAATTACTAGAGTTGACAATTCATCGTCTATCTCTTTCTATCGTGTGTACTTGTCATGTCTCGTTCTCCCTCCCAAATAAAAAACATTATTTTAGTTAATACAAATCATTCGCGCAGTAGCGATATGACCGCTTCACTTGTAGACATCTATTATTTTAAATTATATAATTAAACAAGGTGGGGGATGTATAGAAAAAATATTATTTCTCCTTTCGATACGTCTTCTTCTCTGTCAAATCCAATTCAACTTTCTATCCATTATAGAAGGATGTGAAGGTTAAAAAATTATTGTATTCGAAATAAGTAGGACAATAAATTAATTGGTGTTCTATTACTTTCAGGAACCCACAATGCATGTTGCATTCGTGATGGACGACGTGTGACGTCAGCGGGGCCGTGTGACGTCACCGCGGGCTCGCGGCGGCTCGTGACGTGTCGGAACTTTTAGTGGCGAAGTGCGGCTAGTGCGTAAGTTTGCCTCGCGGCGCCACTGTCGCGCGACTGGCCTGTCAACGTGACAGTGACAGTGGCAGTGACATTGACAGTTGGCGACAGCCGCGCACTCTTAAGTTGCTGTGGTTTTAAGTATGGAAAGTCGTTCCAGTGATTGAAATGCGGTTTATTTTATACAAGTGTTGTCATATCATATCGCGCTTAGACTCTTACGAGTTGCTTGCATTTTGATGTCTAGACGCTTTTTATAAATGAATTTCGACTTGTGTGAGCTAAGGACGCCGTTTTGTAACGTACGTTTGGTATAGTTTTAAGATTGAAATTCGAGCACAAAACGTATTTAATGAGAAATCTTAATTAAGTAATACCGAATAATATAATCTAAGCAATTATATTTGTATAATCGATTTATGGCAACACCATTTACGAGCACATTCCGTTCACTCGAAAGTAATTATTGATGTATTTGTTAATATTAATTAACATAGTGATATGTGTAACGTTCTATGTATGTGCAAAATATCATATAAGAGCTTTTATTTATTGTTTAAAATATTTTATTTATATTGCTTGATATTAATCGAAGCTTGGTATTGTGTTGTGTTTTGTATTTTGTATGATAAATAGTGGATACGGTCGTTTCGGCGAAACGACAATATATATATACTCCCATTTGATATTTTAGATCGTATATAATCTGTAAGAGCTCTATTTGAGCGATCAGGGCTTGTCTCACCACGGGCTGATAAAGGCTCAGATAGCTTAAAAATGACAAATTTTACACGTTGGATTGTTATCAGACAATTTACAATTTGGTGGGACAGGCCCTAAAAGTGGTATACCATTGTTCTAAATCATCCAAGATTTGAGCGATTTTTTGTACATGTTTGTTCAAATGTTGGTAATAGTTGGTGAACGACATTTAGAATACAGCACAGTCTTGCCACAGACTAAAAATGCCAGTCTAGTGTGTACACAGACTATAATGACAACCTAGACCGATAAGGATATAAAACCCGGTGAGCATAAAAACTAAATTATAACAATTCACTGCCCCCTGTTAATTTCAAAAGATCCTTTTCATACTGTAACTGTTGTATTATCTCTATGCCCTTTTTACATATTTTCTGACGAAACCAACCAATAGCACCTTACTGGGCTAGAAATCCTGGATTAAATATAGTTAACGTGTACACAGATTATAATGCCAGTCTAGGTTGTACACAAACTATAATGCCAATCTAGCTAGTGTGTACTCAGATTATAATGCCAGTCTATGTTGTACACGGACTGTAATGCCATTTTAGCCCGTGTGTACAGATTATAATACCAGTATATGTAACATTAAAAATGCCAGTCTAACTAGTGTGTATCTGTCAGATAAATCGCTAGATAGTGAATGTTAATGCATAATTGAGTGATATTGAGAGGAGTCATTTGGTATGCAGTGTGATATTTATTGCCATTTTTATTATTTTTTTTTAAATTTATATCATGAAAAAATAATTTAGCTTTTATATAATAAGATGTACGTTTTTACTTTATTGATATAATATATGCTTTTATTCGATACTTATCAAAAGATCTAATTTATATGTGAATATATATTTTTAGATTTATTTATATTTTTATTCTTTATTTTGATTCATATTTTATTTTCGATATTTTTGATATATTATTTACATTATAGGACTTTATAAGATTTGAAACTTCCATTTATTGTTAAATTTTAATTGACCATTCTCGTATTCCTAAAGAATTCTTTCTTTTTTATATTTTTATCTTTGTCACTTATATAGCTCCTTTTACAAATATTTCATTTTTAAAAAATAAATGATAGATATGATGGTTTATGGCGTGTCCCACCACTGGCTGATAGAGGCTCAGCTTGTAACAAAATCCGATATTTCTATCACATATTTTGCATGTTGGATTGTTATCAGACTAATTACAATTTGGTGGGACAGGCCCTAAATATATTTTATTAACTACTTTTTTAATAAGTTTCTTAATTTTACGTAAACTTTGTGTTTTTTTTTGTTCAATTACGGATTCTCAGAAGTATGACATTGTATCTCATCACAATATAATAGGGTTTATTTCTACATATCATAGATTTATTATTATTTTTTGTATATTTTTGTACAATGTATTTTATGCATTTAATTTATCTGGCAGCTTATTTGTGAACTTTTTTTTTTACACTTTTTATATCGTATTTTATAAAGAGTTGATATTTTTTAATTAATTTTTTTCGCACACTAATGTCGATGGGTTTTCGCTTATTTTAATGTAAGAGTTAGGTCTATGGACAGATTTCGTATAAGATCGGTTTTGTGCAGAATGGCCTATAGGAAAACCCGTGCACGATAACATAACACTGGTTCTAATGACGTATCCTGTAAGTCTTGTATTACATATTACTTTCCTTCGTATTATTTGGGAAAAAAGAGCACTAATGTTTGTATATTGCCATTTTACAGTATAGTGACGTCATCCCAATGTCTTATGTTATTGCGTACGAGTTGTAAGTGTTTTTCATATAGACTGATATTAATGTTATTTTCGTTTCGTGAAATATTTTTTTCTTCTCTTTTAAATATTTTCCTCGATAATTACATATCCATACAACACAATGTCTATAAAAATGTCTGCTTTTTAAATTGTGTTTAATCTGTAAGTTTGTGTATATTGCGGTAGGAAGTGCAATAAACCGCAGTTTTTGGTATAATCTATGTATTGGATGGCTTGGATAGTTTGATGGATAGACGTAAGATGTGAAATCGATGTATTAAGTATTATATTTAATGTACTAGATGTTTCCATTAAGCGTAGTTAAGGTAATGTAAGTTTTTATCAATATTTGTCATATAGTCCGTCTCTTTCACACTCGCTCGTTAGATTGCGTGTGAAAGAGATAGACGATCATGTCCAACAGGGGAACGTAGGGGGATTTTTTATATTTTACTATGAATCGAAAAAGACATAGAACTTGCCTGTTTCTTGTTTCCCTCTCCCTAGTCTTTCGCTTTTTGTAGATCTCACAAAAAAGTTTTTTTGTTCAATTTTTCACGATTTACCCCTGATGATTTTTTAAATGCAATTTCTATATAAATAATTGATGTAAATATTGTACATTCATTCGTTTATTTTAATGTAATTTATTTATTTGAGATTATTTTTTATATGAAAGAGTTTTTAAAAGCCATATCTTTGTTACTCTATGCAATATTTTTTTATTGTTTTTTTTTTCTATTCGCACAATTATCTTCCCCTTTTATTTTGTTATTTGAGTTTAGTGCCATTATGTTTGGTTGTAGATAATTTTTTGTGAGTCCTATTTAATTTTTGTGGCCTGTTTTTTTTTGTAGGTTGTCAAATTTTTCTAATGTAGAGTCAATGTACGCTTAGCTCACTGAATTCTAATCATTTGCCTTTGTAATATATTTATATAACCTTCGAAGAAATTCAGAAATAGATAAAAATGAATTACAGTCAGCTGTTAAATAACATTGACATAGCGTTAGAATATTGTATCTTGTCTTGTCAGAAATATACACGTATTCTTGAGAATTCCACAATGTATACATGCTATTGAAATACGTGAATACATATTTTTGAAACTTAAAATTTATACAGTTTTCTGGGGTGTTTTAAATGTATATTGGTGCAGCTGACTGTACTTTTTTTGCATTTATAATATAAAATAACTGAAGATTTGCTTATGCCTACAGTTTGCTAAACTTAATTATAAATGTCATGGGTAAGTTTCTGATATACCCGTACAGTTAACCAAGAATATAAAAATACCGGTTTCAGAATGGTACAATAGATTTCTTTATTACGTTTTTTATAATACAAGGTGGCAAACGAGTAAAATCCATAAATGGCCACTTGAATCTACCGAAATGGAAAGCGACCGCTGCACATAAACATCCGCAAATGCAGATGCGTTACGTACCCTTGACGGAGCAGGAGACACACATAAAGAGGATATTTCCCCTTCTTATGCGTCTCCTACACCGTCAAATCCACTTTTCCTTCCCATCCTTTCCTCTTAAGAAAAAGGTGGAAAGGGAAAGGGACTAAAATTCGGCCTCCGGCACCACACTCATCAGACGAAACACGGAATTGCTTCCACTTCACGCCTGTTTTCTGTGTGGTCGTGGTATTACACCGGGCGAGCCGGCCCATTTTTGCGAAGATGTTAAAGCGGGCACTATCACTGTTAATGTATGCAAAGACATTAGTTCCATAATGTTTCTGCAATTTGTTAATTTTTATATTACTGGTAATGTTAACGTTTTTTTTATTTAAAATGAGGCAATTGGTTAGGATCAGTGGGTAAATAAATTTTGCTTTGTGCGTCTTAACTGTAAAACACAGTTCAAAAGAATGTGTCATACCTATTTTATAATAAATAACCATCTATGTATTTATCTAGTGTTTTATTTTACACGCCCTTCCTTTGTACTCCACCACCACTGGTCTACTCAGATAGCTTAAAAATGACGTCAGATAAAGTAACAATTCCGATGTTTTCATCATATTTTACACGGTGAATTGTTAAACAATTTGCAATTTGGTGGAACAGGCCCATAGAATTTAAATGATCACTAATTTTGTATTTAAATTTATTGATTTATAAACACAAATTTTAAATTTATGCGATAAAAGAGCGGTCAGTGGTACAAAGCATAAAGGCCCTGTTAATTGGTTATTTTTAAAAGGCAGTTTGTCTCTTTGCAAGAAACAAGGCAATTTTTCTGTAAGTGGAACACCGCGGATTTCCGCGATTGTACCTAGCTTAGGGGATTGTTTTAATGACATTTCTCTTTTTGACCCACTTCCCAATAGGAGCTACTGAATTCGACTATGTAATTTTTATATTAGAGCAGGTAAAAGGCGTATTTTGCAAATGAAACAAAAACAGAATCTTTTGTAATATAATTTGTGTACCGAACATGAGTATTTCTATGACACCACAGAACATTTAAAATATACACAAATTTAACTGAGTCGTCGCTGTCTACATTTTTATTGTTATCCCTTTCACTCTTATGGATAAAATAGAGATATTATGTTACAATAAATGTTACGGCAATGTTCAAGTTATGATAGAATGAACTACTCTGTAAAATTAAAAATGATGGATTACAAAGTGGCATCATGAAAAATAAAATTATGTAAATTTTACAAAAATGAATGAAAACGCTCGGATGAGTAAAGTAATTTGTTTTTATACATAAGGAGTAGTTCAAAAATATTTCTTTAACATTAAATTGAGGTTATTTTTAAAATATACTAGTTGCTAAATAAAAAAGATGACATCTTCAACATATTCTGCTACTTTTTATATATGTATTTTCATATGAACTCGGTAATAAAGACAAATGAGGTTGATAGTAAAACTCTACATAAAACTCACTTCACTAGCTATTGTCCCATAAATTAGATAGAGTCCACTGAATGTCCTTGCACCTGGTATGTAATCAACCACAAAACAGCTACGAATAGACAGATTCTGTATATGTTGTAACTTTTGAGGTTATAAACAGCTGTCACGGCCGCCATTTTTGTTCAATAAACAACTTTTCTTATCGCAGTCCCCTTAGAAAATGTTATAAGTTCACACAGTTGCTGCATTTGTAAACCTTTATTTTCACTTTATTCCTTGTGCACATTGAACAATCTAGGAACATACTCGACAGTTTTAAGTCATTTCTTGTTCTACCGTCGCGTGTCTAAACGCAGCCGGCGCCCCAGCAACCGCACCAGGGGATGGCGCCATCTTGCGGAGCGGCGGAAAGCTTGCGCGACTTGTGCGTGCACGCCGACCCCAGCGAGTTCATCGACGAACACACGCTGTTCGTCCTCTCGTGCTCCGAGTGCGACGTCGTCATCTCCTGCACAATTACATTTTTAAATAAATATTGCTTTATTATTTTTAGGAACAGATAATTTAGCTCTTAATCTCTAGCTATAGTTACTGTGACTAAGGTGGACCGTAAAAAAACAGATAAATACATAGACAATAAATACATGGACACTAGGTACTACGATTTCTACTTTTTAACTATTTTAACTGACGTGAAATATGACAGATGAGTATAGTTTGAAAAGAGGGTAGATTAGCAAGATAAAAAGAAAGTACACACTAAATTACTTTACAGTTTTAAGGAACCCAATTTGATCTTAATGTGCAGTCTTGTAGAGACTAATAACAGATACATGGAGGACAATGTCCTCAGCTTGTGGGCGCGATGGCGCGGTGTCGCGGAGGCACGGCGTGGGTACCTGGTAGCTGTCCCGCTTGTAGCG